GAGATCTCTGGGTGGTCTTAGACTGAGAACTTGATGCCCTGATTTAAATAAAAATACAGTCAGTTAGACTATTATCCTGTTGTATCCACGAAGCTGTGAGTATCTGTTGTTGCAGCTTGTTTACCTACCTGGTATCAATTGATTTTTCATGGACATCTCTCGAGTCTCCCTAAAAGAAGTCAATAAACACATTTACTGAGTTTAATCCTTGTGTTTTCTTCCCGTCAACCATGCACTTTTTGTCCTCCCGGGTCAAAATTGACCTGGTCTGGTTTGCCTGCTTTTAAAGCACCCAGTTTAACTTATCACCCAATTCTGTGTAACACCTTCTTAGCCAACTTCATTACCACAATTTTTACACTTTTTGGTGGAATTCATGGTCAATATGTCTCATTTATATTAAACTATACCAAATTTAAGGTAGAAAAAGCAGAAATTATAAATTATTTTCAGTAATAGTTAGGATCACAGGACTATATGTTGATGGATTATCACAGACTAGTATATGTCAAAGTTTGGTCTGGATACTGGTTTGAAACCATTTCATTATTTTTAATGGCAGCAAATAATCAGACTTTTTGTCCTCCCGGGTCAAAATTGACCCGGTCTGATTATAAAGCATAATGTATAAATTATCACCCAATTCTGTGTTACACCTTCTTAGCAAACTTCATTCCAACTCATTACCACTAGTTTTACACTTCTTTTTGGAAATCAGGGTCAAAAAGGTCCGTGCGGGTGTGCTCACATGCGTGCGCATTTGCTGGACAGCACAATAGTGTGATTAATTGACTTTTTGCACCACTAGTTCAAATCTGACCCGGAAAGACCACAAGTGGAACAAATTTGAATAAAATACACACAATTCAGTGAAAGTGGTGATCATTTTGTTTGTTTGTTTAGAGCGTAGTGTGGAACCATCCATGTAATTTTGGTGTAATTTCATGAAAGAAAACCATATTTTTCATACAAAAACATTTGAAAACGGGTCAAATTTGACCCGAAGACAACACGAGGGTTGGGGGGGGGGGGGGGGGGGGGGGGGGGGGGGTGCTGCCTCTTATCTCAAAATAAGAGGCAGCAAATATCTAACATAAGACTTAAAGGGTACACTTGATAATGAATAACTCACATTAAACTCTTCAAATGATGTGGAGTAATTTCTCTCCTGCTCTTTGCTGCCATCAGAATTAAAGCTATCTGAAACAATAAATGAAATATCAAGAGGATTAATAGAGACACAATAAAATAAAATAAGGCTGATCATGCCAGTCATTACCTCTGGATCCAGAATCAACTGTGGATTTGGTGAAGAGCAGCGACTGTTCACTCTTGCTAGAAGAGGATTTGCTGAGGCTACGTGAAACTGCATGATCTCCTTCTGTCCACTATGATGATAAAGCAACAGAACAGGCATGTGCTCCAATCTGAGAATGCTTCTTTTTACTCTGCAACTTAAAACAGTGAATAACCACGCATGTGGACTGAAGCTCCTTACAGCGATGTTTGTGGATGTGTCAGTGGAGAGGGGAATGGATGCAGAGGAGGTCTGTGGCCTGCTGAGATCCTGAGATTCAGCATCTTCGGCTATCTTCTCCGTAGCGTGAAGGCTGAGTCCAAGAGTCCTTTGCCTCGGTTTAGGCCTGGGTGGCTCTCTCTCCATAGCACTATCTGAATAATGACAGTTTGTGGAAATATCAATTTTAAAAATTTGCTTTAAAAAAATTCTACAGCAATTGTATACATAAAAACAGTGTGAACAGACCTGCAGAGGACATGTGTTTGAGGTCAGTTTCTGATAACTCTGAAATCTGGGAGCCTTCTTCCAGAACAGAGTTGCTCTTCTCCTCTGGCCCCGGTGTTTCCATGACACTGCTGTCAGATGGTAAAGGCAAAGGCATGTCCAGTAGAGTATCACCTGACATTTGGTATGACAGAGATTTACTAGAGCTCTCTCTTGTGATTTGAGGATCAGTAGACTCCACACCAAATCGTATGTCATCTTCACTGACATTTGTGGACTGCTGTGAGGAAAAGGAGTTATTATAATTGTTGTGTCGACCGTCGGAAGAGTCAGGCGACTCGTTTTCATGTGATGCCGTTGTGTCTTCTGAGGGAGAGCTGATTCTTTGGGTTTTCAGAAACGAAACTCTCTTTGTTTTGCCATGTTTGGCTTCATCGTCTGAAATCTCAAAGTTGTTGATTTTGCCTTTACTCTTCCCAGTCTTAAAAGAGCCAGCCCTCTGTTTTCTTGATTTGAGGAGTTTATTCAAAAAATCTGTGAAATATACAAAAAAAGTAAATGACAGTAGAGAACCATTAAACTGTACCTATTTAAGTTAACACAACAATATGAACTCAAGGTGTTCATGTACTAGCTTTTCCTGGGGCTTTCAAACTGCATCTTACCATCCCTTCCTAACTGGATGGTTGTATGCCAACTGAGCAAACTCCATCCACTAAGGAAGACTGACAGATGTGGCTGAAAACTACAGAAAAAAGCAAGCAGAAAGTCATTTTTTAGTCAAGTTTTTCATGTCAAACTGCTGTTTCCAACTTACACATTTCACAAAATGCATCTAAATGGAAGGTGTCTGATTGACAAGAATGGTTTTCAGACCCTGACATCCGCTATATGGATGACAGTACAGTAACTGTGCCTGTTTAGCCGTATGGTCTGTTCTATTGATGCTCTGCTGTTATTCTTGCTGCCATCTGCCATTTTCTTCTTATAGTAATCCTTCATCCTTATTAAAATTGGCAGAGAAGAAGTATTTCCCAACCTTTTCTTTCCCAAAAGCCCTTTAAGATGAGCTCAAGAACCCCTTCACTGACACCACCTGTTATTTTACAAATGTGTAATTTATATAATATATTTGAAACTTAACACTGTTAATTACATAAAATTGAATACTGTTATACGATTATTTCACACAAGACATAGTGGTCCTGGAATAGGCTATTTTTCAGTCAATGTTACATTTGTAGCAGAAGCTAGACATTTCAAACATTTTAAACTAGTTTTCACACACTCAACCCACGCACTCTTACCAAATCCTAATTTAAAATTTTCAAATAAGATCAGTTACTCAACAATCCTAAAGGCAAATGCATATATGTACCCCCTGGGTTACAAGTAGCCCCTGGTTGGGAATCTCTGCTGTAAAGAACTACCATAGTAACTTTTTTAAATTTCTTCACAATCAAACTGGTATCAAAGTAATGGTAGCTTTTAGAAGGAGAAGGTAATAAATAAGCCTCATCATCAACTATCATTACACACAGATATAGGTGATATATAAACCGCAATTACAATGTAAACAAAGGCACTGAATGGAGGGACTCTGTCATCTTACCATCTTCATCTTCATTGAAGTCATCAGAGTAGGAGTATTGGTCTGTTTTTGTTTTGCTTGCCCGGGCAGAGATAGCAGCCTGAAGTTCATCCTACAAGGACATAGTTTCAGGTTGACGTGACATTTCTTCAGAGGGCTCTCGGTTTAATAATAATAACAATAAGAATAATCTTTATTTATAGAGCACTTTTCAAAACCATGTTACAAAATGCTTTTACAAGAGCAAAGAACACATAATTAAATTACAGAAAAATAAATAAACAAATAAAATCAACTAAAATCAGGAAATGCTCTCCCCTAAAAGTATGTTTCAAGAAGGGTCTTCACTAATCCATTCATTTCTCATTTAGTAGGATATCCAGACGGCATAACGTTACAATGAAGCGTTTAACCTCACCTGAAATGTTGTCCTCCTCGATGTTTTCGGGCTTTTCTTGTAAGCCAGTGTCGTGGACTCCTGATTCGCCATTGTGAAAACTATAAACACGCTCGTCTGATTAGCATTAGCATCCTAGCTAACGTTAATGTGTAGCTAGCCACTAAGCCTCCTGTGCTAACGTTACCATTATAGCTACATTAACACTATGCAAAGTTTGGTCGCCCCATGATTGCTGCCTGCTTCAATAAATACAATACAGCTGTTCATAAATGGTACTATAGCTAACTATAACTAACTATAGCTAAAGGCACACTGTCATACAGCTACAGTGGGCTAACGGACTTGTTGATGGTAACCCAGGGAAACGTGAAGGACAGTTCCGTTTCACCACTGCGCATGATCAGAAGATTACCAAAACAAGTTGTGTTACAGTCTATGGTTTGTTATAATAATACACCTGTTACCATTAAAACGCTTTTAATTAAGTCGTGTAACACGTCTGTTAAATTCAGCCTTTTTATAATAAACCATTGACAGTTTATGAAAAATGTATTGTTTATATAAAATAAATGTATTAAAGTAATCATGAGTTAGGTGAGGAAAGCGTTTTGGGGAGGATGGTGTGAATCACGTGAGCATAGGTGCAGCTGGACGTGAAGGGAGGGGATTGAAGTCATCAGAGAAGGAGTGTTGGTCTGTTTTTGTTTTGCTTGCCCGGGAAGAGATAGCAGCCTGAAGTTCATTCTACAACGACATAGTTTCAGGTTGACATGACATTTCTTCAGAGGGCTTTCGGTTTAACTAATAAAAACAATAACATGCATGCCGACATGGAACATGAATCAGCATTTTAATGTTTAAGCTAGGCGAGATGTTTAAGGTCACAGGTTTTATGTAAAATCTTAATCTGCAAAGTGACTACTATAGCTATAAATTTAGTGGAGTGAAAATATAAAGTAGCTTCAAATGGGAAAAACTCAAAGTACAATTATCTCAAAACTGTACTTAAATAGAGTTTAGTTAAACAAGAGTTTTGTAAATACTCTTCATATGCCACCATTATTGGTTCTGTATTGATATTGCTTTGTTGCAATTATGAAATCTGAAAAACTGATAAAATACTGAGTAGGCAGCACTGCAGGTATATATGTTTGCAATGTCTTTAATTCCAGCCAGAAACCAGAACATATTTGTATATTATGATGTGTACATCTGCCTTAGTGAATGCAGGAATGTAAAGTTTACAACACCACATAGCCAAGCAATAAGACTGAATTATTTTTATTGTTATAGGAAAAGTGCATAGTTGAAGCCCTTTTTAGACAGTAAAAATTTAAATCAAGGTCTTCTGTGGTACCAGATATTCCACTTATACATCTGAACAATCTAGTATGGCGCACCCCCCCCATTTTATATAACCACTCATGGTTTACTTAACGGTTTCCTTCCTCCTCCCTGCCCTCTCCCAAGCAAGTCTGGAAAGATGTAGCAACTTTCACTGATATGGAAAGAGCCTGACTGTCAGGATGATCTCAGCCCACAGTTGTTACAGATCATATCCAGGTTGTGAACTCTTATACCATGCCTTCAAATAACACCCTACAATTTAAGACTAATCTGTGTAATTTCTGATATCACAGATACCCTGGAATACAACCAAAAACACAACCAGGGCCCAGAAACACTTGCTGTAACCATGTTTCCACGACACGGGCATGACAGATACTAGAAAGACAGGAAACCCTCTATTGTGTACTGAAATCCAATAAGCAATTATAGACATATAAAAAAATACCACCCATTATAATGTTCCATTTTTCTTGAGATTGTATCAAAGAAAGGTTGATTCTCCTTTGCAACTTTGAGGCTGTAGTTTGTGTTGCATGAGGCAGAGCATTTTGTACGGTTATAAACATCCACACACAATTACATACATGGTTAAGAAACCAAACAACATTCCCCAGTGCATTGGTCTGCATTAAGGGGTTTCCATTTTTTCTGTTCACTCACTATATTTCAACCTAATAATAATTAATTAATTCCCATCACAAATTTAAAATAAAAATGACCTCAAATATGGCACTGTCTTTCTCTTTGCTTTTCACTGGTTTGAGATACTATCATACAGAAGATGTGAAGTAGAAACTTTGGATGGCTCCCATTAATCACAGACTACTCTTATCCCCGTCTCCACAAGGCCACCATTTACACGGCTGCATTAGTACAACAGGCCTTCAAAAAGGAACAGACATACACACAAAAAAGTGCTAATAAAATATGATTCTCGGCTGCTAATAGGTCAGTATACAATGATTATTTAACCACAAAACAATTACAGTACATAGAATCATCTCAATATGATAACGTATTTGCTTGTGCTGAGTATATTGTTTGACAGTTACCCCACTATTATACCCTATCTGTCTGCCTGCACTTCAATGATGTGAAATTAGGTTTGACATGTGGGTATTTAACAAATCTTAAACCCCTAAACATAAACAATCTGGCACTGCTGTCTTAATCATCAAACCGGGTTATAGATAAAAAGGACAGACACGTTCTTGGAAATGCAGTTTATAAAGAAGACTGGACTATTTGCTGGCTGGGGCGATTATGGAATCTTATTGAGGCCTGAACGTAAACACAAAAGATTAATTCACTGCATTAATATCAAACACATTATGTGATAGGACATCGTTACTGGCACTGTTTAGAATGTTGATTTTAAAAGTGGAAGTGGTTTCAGAGTCTGAAGAACCCACCACCCTTCATTACTCAGCAAGCACTCAAACAACAATTTAAACTCCGCTAACCCTCCCTTCTCCCCCAACCCATGTGATGCATTCCTTCATTTTGAGTTTATGTCTGCCTTTCTGCAGATCAGACAGCATCAGGACTGGGATCAGGGACCGACTCAGAACGATAACAAACCTTCTAATTAAAGACTTACACACAGAGCCCAGCTGATAGATCTTCATGCTGATGTCGGCCAATATTATCAGTCAAAACTGGCTTTTTATACATTTAGTTATTAAGTTTCCTGATCAAAAAGGTTTTGTAAGTGTAAAACATCCTTCCTCAGTCTATATCTTTGTCAAAAAATAACCAAAGCAGAAAAGTATATGCCAAAACTGTTCATGTTGTGTTTATGAAAATCAAAACATCAATATTGACCTCTAGATGATCAGATTTCTTGCAACTTTGGAATACCACATCTGTATTGACCTCATAAATCCAGCATCAGTTGGGCTCTAGTAACAGGAATCATTAGACAGATCCAACCATTAAAATAGGAAGAAAGCAAAAAGATATGGAGAGTGAAGATTGACAGGGAGATTGTGCCGTTCTGGTCACAGTAACTAGCCAACTGTGCAGCTCCAGTCAGAGCAGATGGATGACTGCTGGTACTCTTGCTTCTCTGCTAATCAATAGGTGGTGCTGGGGGCTCTCTTCTGTCACTCTGTAAACCAAGACAAGAAGACATCAATGCTGTTACAATAATATAATATTACAAAAAAAAGACATTCAGTTTGTCACATCCAGCGTGTGACAGTTCCAGTTCGCATCACAGAACAAACATTTTGTTCCTGGTTCCTCTAAAGTGTTCATCTTAACGAATATTGTATCTAACAACTTTAAAAACATAGAAAATGTATCAATGATTTCGGACTATAAAAAAAAAAACAAACACATGTTGATACAATATTGCAATTTTGACATGTTAAAGTAAAAGCACAGGTGTTAATATTATAACCAACGCTGACTGAATTCTATTTAGCTGCATGAGTTTCAGCGTCCTGGTATTGTACATGCTGGCTCAGGGCGGAGATGTTTTAAGAGGAGACACGTCACAAAGAATCCTCAATACAACTCAATACGGAAAGCCTGCAATGCCAAAGATGACAGACACAAATAAATCAATGTATGGGATACACCGAGAGCAATGCGTTTCACTCTGAGCTTCAGACTCGAGCCTTTTACGATTGGTGATATAAGATCACTGATTGATCATATACTTTCATATGCTGAGTGTCACTACCAGAAAGCAAGAGAAGTACATTACATTTACTCATTTAGCTGATGCTTTTATCCAAAGCAACTTACAATTCCTATATATGTCAGAGGTTGCACACTCTTGTACAGCAATACTGCACATTTAAAATGCCATTGTGAAGTAGGCGGGAGTGTGATTAATACTGACATTGTGGGGTCCAGTAGGTTTGCCTGAGGGACGATGACCCCTGAGACTGGATGGGCGCAGCAGGAACAGGAGCAGAGCCAGCACCATCCATCCCATCATGACCATGGGGAGGGTCAGGTCACCTCCTCCGTTGCCAGCTGGCCCACTGGGACCTGGCACTGAAAAAAAAAAAATTAAAATAAAAAAGACATTTTAAAAAATCTTTGCACTTCACACATGTAAACAACACTACAGTTCCTGATTTGAGAACATGCTTGGGTGCAGCCATCCTTCCACATAATATGACACGCAATAACAAATGCATGGTCTAATGTGGTCATACATACATTCCTGAGGGCAGTCTGTGTCTGTGCAGTAGGACTGAGATTGCCTGAGCTGAAAGAGAAATTACAGAAGGAACAAAAAGTAGAAGAGTAGGAAAAAAATTATACTATTAAAATCTTCTACTTTATGACAATGACTACTTTGATTACTATGGTTTCCACTGCCCTCACCTAGGAAAAGAGAATACAAGTCATCTACAAACTCACTGCTAAAAAAAAAACTTTAAGACTTTCTTGTTACATATGACCCACTCACAGGTTACTGTAACCAGCAGCACATATTCACATGTGGATGGTGCAAAACAACCATCTGAGCACAGCCTGCCTCCAAAAAAAAAAAAAAAAAAAAAAAAAAAAATCAATCAGACTGGCAAATGCTGTGTAAATTCTTTAGTTTAGAAAACACTCTTTCCTGCAACAAGCAAATCAGAAAACCCCCGGGGTGGGTCCAAGCTCTGAACCAACTGCAACTCGCCACGCAAGTTACACCTGAGCACAAAGTGCCAATGAGGTCACCTGCAAACTGACACAACATGATTACACGATGATGATTTCTTTAGTTTCTCTCAATAATTTTGACATCAACTTTTATGACACACTTTCCTTTACACGAGCCAGAGAATATTTACACACTGCGAACCTGTCAGCAAACAGTGCAACAGAGTGAAACGTCTTGGCGTGACAGAACTGATATGCTCTTAATATAAACACTGAGCAGGAACCCGGATATGCTGGCTAACTGTCAGTCGACAGCTTTTCATTTCCTTCCCTTTACTTTCTTGTTGTTCCTAACGTTAATCTCTTTGCTTCATACTCTCGACTCCAGCAGGAGATAATTTACTTCACACTGCATACTTGGAATACTTTGACCCGTCCCTGCACTTCAACTCTGTTATGATCAAGTCCGCCACTTAAAAGATTTCAAGTGGCAATGAAAACCACTCAGTTCTATTACTTACCAGGTTGATGAGGCGCCTCATAGCATACTCATGGGTGCAGATGCACTCGCAAGGATCAAAGCCTCCCTCTGCCATTTCTCACCAGACGGTGTGCACCTTGGAGCAAGACGAAAGTACCGTAGGTAACTAGGGCGTACATGAACAAGAGAGAGAAACCTAATGCCGCTTCTTGTGAGTGCTGTGCGCTATTGTTGTTTGAGAGGCAAACACTGATCAGAGGGAGGAGACTGCTCACTTAAGGACAGTCAGCAGACTCTGTGTCTGTATCTTGCTGCATGTAATGCCAAAATGCTCACCGGTCAAAAGATTTTAAACATCTCATGTTATCACATTTTTGCTCTGCAGCTATGTAACATTCATTGTTACTAGCTTTAAAATTAACATTAAAGCTTGTGTTTGTTGTGTGTTACTTTGATAAGCCCATTTTAGCAACACACTAAATATTTTCTGAGTTGTTTCTGGTGTAATCACATATTTTAAAATGTCTGGACTGGTTTACCTTTATGGTGCACTTGTCTATGATTTAAGGTGAATTAGGAGTCCCATTATGATCTAAGAGCCTGTCAATGAATTAATCCATAAATGCAAGAATTTAGCTGATTGGGTGACATCCACCTTTCATCATGGGAGGCTAATGTCAGCTCAAGATAGAGTGAAAGCAAGCAACTATTACTGTAATGAATGAAAACACATTATCAAATAGCCTGGTATACTGATGGGTGTGAAAAACAGTCTATAATGCTTGCATTAGTTGTGGGACAAATATGGAATCAAATGCACAGATGTCTGCTACATATGGAGGATTGATCCTGGCAAATTCAGAAATAAATAAATGCTCAATAAATAAGCATCTGATTAAATGCACAAAAAAATAAGTAAATGTAGGCAGTAATTATACAAGGAGAGGGAGATAGAGATTATATATATATATATATTACACATACACATTTTAATTAGCTTCTTTACTTCATCCTTAAACCTGTGCGCCACAATCTTTAGGATTGTTTTTAGTCAACCGAGGGTCAGTGGTCGTGGTGGTAGGTTAGCGAGCGTGTATAGGAAAAATTTAAAATGTCATCAAGTACGCTGTGATGAATTTAACTCCTTTGAAGTTCTCGCTCTTAAAGTTGGAGGGCTGCAACCTATCATATTTGTTATAATTTATCACCCCCCAAAACCGCCTGGAGGATTTTTATCAGAACTTCCTGAATTTTTATCTACTCTAATTGTTCTTTGTGGTGATTTTAATATTCATGTTGATGACCAACAATGTTAATGCAAATGACTTTTTAAACATGGCCACTTCTTTTAACTTCAAACAACATGTCAAAGGGCAAACACATAACCGTGGTCATACACTGGACTTGGTTTTTACCCTGGGTGTCAGCATTTCCTCTGTGGAATTAGTGGACATGACCATATCTGATGTATTGTTTTTAGCTGCGATTCGCCTGTTACTCATGCCGCCTCACCAAGCTCCGTGTGTTCTCGCATCTTTAATGAACAAAGTGTTTCAAAGTTTTGCGCATTCTTTCAGAGCCAAAGCCAACACCTGTCTGATTCCAACACCAACAATCTGGTCGATCACTTCAATCATATCTGCTTGTCGTCACTAAATATTACTGCTCCTCTAAAGGTTAGGCCTACGTCTAAAGCTAGTAAGCAACCCTGGATAAATGACAGCATTCGCAGCCTAAAAAGGGAATGCAGGAAAGCAGAGCGCAGATGGAAAAAATCCAGTCTCCAAGTCCATTACCTCAGTCTGAAGGATTTATCAATTAAATACAATAACTTGGTTAAGGATGCGAGAACACACTATTTTTCTGAACTCATTACTACACATTAACACAAACCCAGGTTTCTGTTTAAGACTGGATCAGCTGGTAAACCCCTCCTTGTGCCTCAGTTGGAAGTAATGATGACTGAATTGTTTTTCTTATTTTACCAATAAGGTGGTGTCAAACAGAGCAGAGGTTCCTCACCAGCAACAAGAGAGTTTTAACCAGTTTTATCCCATCGACTTGTCTGAGCTTTTAAAAACAGTATCACAAATGAGAGTGTCCTCCAGCCCACTTGATGTAATACCTACAAAGTTTTTACTGAAAGTAATAGATTCTGTTGGGCCCCATTTGATCTGTTTAACAGCTCCCCATCAACTGGTTGTGTCCCTGATTATTTTAAAACGGCGTGAACCCACTTTTAAAGAAACCTGGTTTAGATCCCTCCCTCCCACATAATTTTAGACCAATTTCAAAACTGCCTTTTATTGCAAAGATTCTAGAAAGAATTGTGTCCAAACAGCTGCTCACTGTACTGGAAAATAACAAAATATTTGAAAGGTTTCAGTCTGGTTTTAGGAAGTACCACAGCACTGAGACTGCCCTGCTTAAAGTCACCAGTGACCTTTTAATGTCTGCTGGTGAAGGCATGTGCTCAGTCCTGGTACTCCCGGACCTTAGCGCTGCTTTTGACACCATTGATCACAACATCATGTTAGACAGACTGAGGCACTGGGTTTCATCCTACCTGTCAAATAGGAAGTTTTGCGTGTCTGTAAACAACTATGTCTCCTCGTTCTGTCCAGTTAAATATGGTGTGCCTCAGGGGTCGGTCTTAGGACCCATTTTGTTTTCCTTGTATCTGCTTCCCCTTGGAGATATTATCCATAAACATGGCATTTCTTTTCATATTTATGCTGATGACACAAATATACTTGCTGTCAGATCCACAGACCCTGGAATGCTGAGTTCACTTAACAACTGCCTTTGTGAAGTTAAAAAATGGATGTCAAATAATTTCCTCCAGCTGAACTCAGACAAAACAGAAATCCTGGTCATCGGGTCCCAGCAAATGGTAAGGCAAATACTGCCATCTGCTGGTTCCCTAGTAAATCACATTAAGCCTGTGGCAAAGAACCTTGGTGTTTGGTTTGATAGTAATTTAAATTTCGAGCAGCACACCACAAAGCTTGTTCAATCATGTTTTTATCAACTTGTGAAATATAGCAAAAATTCGATCTATGTTAACTTTTAAGGACACCGAGACCATTTTACACGCCTTCATCTCATCACGCCTGGATTATTGCAACAGCCTTTTCACCTGTTTAACCCAAAAATCTGTTGATCGACTCCAGACTGTCCAGAACTCAGCTGCCAGGCTTTTAACCAGAACAAAGAAATGTGACCACATTACCCCTATTTTAGCTTCATTACACTGGCTCCCAGTAGGTTTTAGAATTGACTTTAAAATTCTATTGATCACTTTTAAAGCTCTTCATGGCCTCTCGCCTTGTTATATTTCTGACCTTTTAGTCCCATACACACCAGCACGTATACCTTGAGATCCTCGGGCAGAGGTCTGTTGTCTGTTCCAGAGTCTCGACTGTATCTAAAGGGGACAGAGCGTTTGCTGTCCGGGCCCCGTGGCTCTGGAACAGCCTGCCCGAGGAAATCAGGTCGGCTGAGTCAGTGAACTCTTTTAAGTCCCTTCTTAAAACATACTTTTATAGGAGAGCCTTTCCCGATCTTATTTGATTTTATCCCTTTTATTGTATTTTACTAATTTTATATTTATCTTAAGTGTATTTTAGTCTTTTCAATGTTTTTCATGCTTTTATCTTGTGTTTTTGTATTATTGTCTCATGGGTATTATTGTCTTTACACTTGTTAAAGCACTTTGTAACTTGTTTTTGATAAGTGCTCTACAAATAAAGATTATTATTACTTATTCCCCTTTGTAATAATTACCCTATTTATTTCTTGTCTGTTATAATCTTCAACTTTATTACTTCTTTTTTAAAATGTATTTATTTATGTGTGTGTTAATATTTTTTAATAGTCTGTTTTATTCTTCGGTTGCATTTTCTACCCTATTCCCCCAATTTCTGCCTGTCCTTTTTATATTTCTCTATGCATTTCTGCCTCTTTATGCAAATGAGGAGGTGCTGTGTCTCAAGGGGAGAACTTCTCCCCTATTGTGTGTGTTATTTTACTTTTAATACACATGTAACAGGTTTTATACTTCCTGTGAATATAATAATTCTTATTTTCATACTGTATATCCGTTGTGTAATGTGATAAATTATGTTGTATGTGGTGCTCGCATGGCGTACTATTGAGACTTCATTGCCCTCTTTAGATAAGACTCGTGTCTTTGCAAAGAGAGTCAGACAGACTACAAGTCTGTAACTCTGCCTGTCAGCTGGCTCTGCTCCATTAAAACTGAATTTACCATACAGAATTGAATACGAGTGCACTCCAGATTTAGCTGCAGCCAGCTGACCGTGTGTTTCTCCCTATACCGCAGTTCTGTGTCCATGCATGCAGCAAACTGAACACTGTCAGAGTGTCCACACGAAAAGGGAAGGAAGACATATTTTGGTAGTATTGTCTTCAAATAGAGTTGCTAAACACCTCAGCGCACTGAAGGAAGCCATCTGACTGTGTGAGAAGAAAGCTTGTTGATGTGTGCAGGCAGAGTAGGCCTAGAGCTCTCCGGTCTGACTGGTCCACCAACAGGGGAGAAGTTCACCCCTTGAGACACAGTCCCTCCTCATTTGCATAATGAGGCAGAAATGCATAGAGAAATGTAAAAAGGAAATAAATACCATTGGGGAAATAAATAGGGTAGAAAATGCAACCGAAGAATAAAAACAGACAAAAATATTAAAAACACACACAAATACATTTAAAAATAAATAAAAGTAGTAATTAATAAAAGTTTAAGATTATAACGGACAATAAATAAGGTAATTATTACAAAGGGGAATAAGTAAAGAAGCTAATTAAAATAGATGTATACATTTATGTCTCCTTGTATAGTTTAATTACTGCCTACATTTACTTTTTTTTTTTGTGCATTTAATCACATGCTTATTTATTTATTGAGCATTTATTTATTTATTTCTGTATTTATTTCTGAATTTGTCAGGATCAATCCTCCATAGCTATGGGGGCCTAATCAAAGTTACCATGGTCTATACCGATTTGAGTCTATATCGACTTTTACTTGCCTTTTCCCCCCCACTGTGAATTTATACATGGTCCAGTTGACTTGAGGATTGAGACACTGTTTTTACATTACCTTGGATGCATCTTTGTTAGCTTTAGGCATTACCAACATATCTGCAATAAGCCAATATTGCCAGACATATTTATAGTTTTGGGGTCTCATTTATAAATGGTGCGTACGTACAAAACAGGGCTGGAAACGTGCGTACGCCACTTCCCAAGCAAAGGTTGTGATCTATAAAAACAAACTTGATGGGAGAATGTGAACCATGCGTAGGCACATAAAGAGGAGAAATGAGAAATGGCGACTCGCATGGCAGAAGGATGAAACTGTTTGAAATAAGTAGGCCTACTATTGTGAAAAATAAAATCTGACTATTACCTCTGAGTATTGTAGGCTTAAAGCCTGTCTGAATAAACAAAACACCCGTTTGACTTTCCCCAAAGTGCGCAATAAAACAACAACTAAAAATTTAAGATCATTTGCAGCACACAAAAGAACCAGATTTAGGATAATAAACACAAACAGAGATATATAAAAGAATGCCTCAAATATGTTGTACAGTTCAGTCAGGACTCATTAATTAATACTTGCATGCAGTGCAATTTATTCTCATAAATAAGGTGAACAGGAGGACAAATTACATTTAAATTGATGCCGTTTTCAGTGCGTCAGTCAAGCAAATAGGAGTGAATACTTTCATAAATCCTATTGTTATCAGAAGTTCGTTGCCTTATTGAGCCAAACGCTGTGCGCCAGCATGTGGATGTGATGTGCTGCTTGTAAAAAACACATAATGGAAAATATAAAACTATTTTATTAAGTAAATCTTTAAGCTTATGTCATTTAGCCTTCAACCAGTCATATTTCTTTTAACTCATGGGCAGCCTCTTAAGTGAATGGACTGTTGTGTAGCCTAAATAAATGTTTAAACACAAGTGGAGTGCATTTGGTTTAATATCTTTTCAAAGGAGGGAATCCAAATTACAACCTGGGTCATCCCATCTTGCCTGTGTGTCCCCCTCCAGTCAGTGACGTCACTACTCAAGAGGGATGCCCCTTCCTGCAGATTGGTTGTAAAGAGGTAGAGCTCCAATGCCCCCTTTCCTCAGGTGCACAAGTGTTGCACCAAACATCATGCTTCAGCTTCACCAAAAGGAACGTCAGTGTCACACTGAGTTAAATTTCATTTTGTAGCTTCTCTGTCAGATTTTGCCTCCTTTTCTTCAGACATATTAATATTGATGAGGGGCGTTTCTCTGACCATTTATAGGCAACTATGGGCGTTTGAAGGGTTGGACATGGAGCTCCCTCACGTGCGCCACATTTCAAGTTGATTGTGATTTATAAAAGGGAACACTGCTTAGAAGTTTGCATACGCACGGTTTTATAAATCAAAATATTTTTGGCGTAAGCTATTCTTGGCTTTTGGGCGCATGTACACTTTTAGTGAGGATTCTATGCACAGTTTTATAATCGAGAACCCTGGTCTATACTAGAGCTGTTGAAATCGCAATATTGGCCTACTGCAATTTTCAAATCGCAAGAGGCGCAATTGTTAAAGGTGATGCGATGTCAAAATTTTTAATTAAACATTGTTGTGCTGCAGAGATGTCTTGGCTTACAAATCATTTTCTAGAGATTTGAGAAAGCATCTTTGTTTAATACGGACCCTTGCAAAAATCAAACCATAATTCATTTTAATGTTTTTCAATGAAAATGAGAAATATAATTTCCCCAGGTATCGCAAATCATAGCAGTCAGTCAAAATAATAGCAATTAGATATTTTTTCATAATCGTTCAGACCTATTCAATTCCACAATAAAGTGAACAGTAAAGCATGTTTTAATTTATCCCTGTGGCTACATATTTCTTCAGTATATATTTCTAATATCTGTACTATGAAGTAACGATGAATCTGCTCGACCCCAAAATGCTTAAATATAAACTGAAAAACATATGACTTTCACTGTATATTAATGAAATAAATTTCTACAAGGCCCACTTGTAACCGAGTTGTAATAGTTAAGTTATATCAAAACATGTACACGTTATATTTTCCATGGGCGGCAGGCTGCCTACAAATTCCTACAGACGAAGATAATGAAGTGACCAGTCAGTTTATCTCGACCCTGCTGAAATCCAGTCAAGGCAGCTATCATGACTTCGTGTTACTCTCACTGCTCTCGAACTAGTTAAGCTAACGTCAGTCTAGCATATTGCTAACCTACAGCCAGCCAGCCAGCCGACCGTGAGAAAACTCGCAGCATTGTCATTTTCCGTCTGTTAACGGGCATATGATTAGAGACAGATGTAACAGCAAACGACAACGAAACACGACTTACTTGAGCTTTGTAGACGTTCAGAAAACGTCAAATATCGTTAAAGGGCCTGGGCTACACTGCTGCAGCACTGTTCTTTTCCGCCGAAGCCGTTAGTCTGCAGACATTTCAACCTACCGTCTGTGTTTTGTTTGATACACGTGAGGAGGAACCAGCTATTCTTCGCGACTCACCATCCGGGAACTCGTGCTGAGGGGTGTGGACCAATGGGGTGGACCGTCACTTATTGGTCCAAAAGTTAGATGGGCGGGTCTATAAGCCAATCACAGTGGGAAACGATTACAACGTCTGGATAGTAAACAAACAGTCCAGCTGGCTACCATCAGACAGTAGCAGATGACCCCAGTTCAAACATTTGTTCGTGTGTAACCAAATATACAATCGTATATTTACTGAAATACAGTACTTTCTACTTCTACTCCAAATAAATATTGTACTTTTACTCCATTATGTATGTATGTGTATGTGACAACTGTAGTTACTTTGTACATTAGAATTTTACATACAAAACATGTGGCCAGTTTATAAAATATAATTCATTTAACGATATTTAATATGTGACGGTTAATAAACATTTTATACCTTGTAAAATGGGAACCTGTTTGAACAATTATTTTGATGCATATAGTGTACATTAGTTTATTTTACATAAACATCGTCTAGTTAGAGAAAAAAAAATTATTTTATTTAATGGAATGAAAATCAAAAGAAAATTTTATGTAAAATTAGTAACAACACCCTATAAAAACGTAGTAGTATCAACGGTATTTCAGAGTGTTATTATATCATATTATTGGATCATTATGCATTAATGTGTAAGCAGCATTTTATTTCTGTTAGTTGTATCACGTTTTAAGAAATTAATGTATGTTTTGTGTGTGAAAATCCAAATAAAATCACTCAGGGGAGAACCTGACAGCTTCCGTCTCTTACTTTTTATTTTGCCACTTAGTAAGAGATGGCAGCAACCTGTGATGTAAATCCCATGAAAGTAGTTAAACTGTCAGTTGAAGTGTAAGTAATGAAAGCAACTGAAGTGTCACTAAAAGAGTGAAAGTAGAAATGTCATTTGAGTGAAATGCTCAGTTTAAGTTGAAGCCTCAGAGATAGTGTGTACAGTAAATACCCCCCACCCCCCAAAACAATAACAACAATTAGGTAAGATGTTGGGATGGGCATTTGTGTGATGTTGCATCCTGTAGCCTATGTGAATGAAAATGCTAGTAACCCGTGCTAGGAACCAGATGTGTTGAGAGCACATGATGAGAAATGTCCTGAAGGCAAGTTTGAAAAGAACATAAACCTATGTGCCAGAGCTCATTAATGAAAGTTCCAGTTTCTACTCCATTTAGCTGGCTGTGTTTGTTCTGGACTGACTGACTGACGCTGTGCGCTGGCTGGCAGGGACTCGACGGCAACGGTGAGCTGCCTCTGAAGTGAAAAGAAGCGGTGGACGGTGAAAGTGAAAGGAGGGCTTCCTAACTGTGAAAAGGCACTGAGCAGGCAGTCCCCACACAGACAGACAACATAGGGAGAGAGGCCCCGGGTCTTGCTTCAAGGCAGCAGCAGTTCAGCAGACAGCCATGGCTAACATCGCGGTCCAAAGGATCAAGCGGGAGTTCAAAGAAGTTCTCAAAAGCGAAGAGGTGCAGTAACGTTACTGGATTTGTTTTGATTTTTAACTTAAAATCAGATCCTTTTCTTGTTACCGTTTTCAACTCCGGTAAAGTGTCTGTATTTTACCAGAGAGCCCTCGCTAACGCCAGGTGCCAGTCCTGTGTTGCGGCAGGTCAGGCCCGAGCAGGAGAACTTTAGCTAGCTTTAGCTCGATATCAGCGTCTGGTCGAACCTCTCCTGTTGTGGCTGGTGGGTGTGTTCAGGAAACACCGGGGATTCAGCTTTGTCAACTGACAGGCCCTCTGTTTCTAACAAACAATACCGCATACCTTTGGGAAATTATCCAACTTAAACAAACCTATCGTGTATGGGCTATAGCGCACGTTTCACACAAGATACAGTGGATGCTTACTAATGTTAACATAAATGAGTTACTGACAGTTCGGGTAACGTTATTTTGACATCTCATCTACTGTTAGCATTAACGTTAGCCTGTGGCGTTATGCTGTAAGGTTCACCAACTTAACACATTTATGTAAATTTTAATCAACTGTTTGTTTCAGTTGGGAAGCGGTCATTTAACGTGTGTATTTTGTCATCCTACTGCCTGTCAAGTGTTGTTATTGTATGTTTGTAGTTACTTGCTAGCTTGGCTGTACTAGCAAGCTATCTATGGTGCTAACGTATTTAAACGCCTTAACGCGTCCTATGAAAATATATACGGCTTTGATTTTTTTATAGGAAATGACAGTTGTCTGTACTGTTTAAAAAATAAATAAAAATTAAGGCGCGTGGGTTCATACTTGACAGAGACATGTCAACTTCAAGACACCGGCTAAGAGTTGTCAGTCCTTAACCAGCAGGGTAATTCGTTGTGTCCCTTCTCATTTGTCCCAACTCACAGACAAGTAAAAACCAGATAAAAGTAGATTTGGTGGATGAGAACTTCACAGAGCTGAGGGGGGAGATAGCAGGTCCTCCAGATACACCATATGAAGGTATTGTCACACACCTGCATCATAATAACCTGACAAACTAGCTGCCACACGACTTTTGTTATGATTTGTCATGCTAAAACATTTTGTTGTTGTTCTTTCTTTCCAAGGTGGCAGATATCAACTTGAAATAAAAATCCCAGAAACCTATCCTTTTAACCCGCCAAAGGTATGCGTGTCAGTATCTCCCATCTGGTACCTGCTGTATGTCCTTTGCCTCTCTCTCACTCTTCAGTGCATGTACATCTACGCTATTATCCTGGTTAAGATAGTTTTGGAGTAAAATTCATATTCTGGTTTGAGAAACAGTGCTCTTAATCCAGTTTTGAAGGAACATGAAAGTGCTCTAATAGAAAGCGGGACACTGTGGCTCCTAAATAACTGTGTAATATTGAGGTTTCTGATTACAGTCTGTCATGTGCACAGGTGTTACATAGTAGTTTGTCAGTGAATGGAAAAATTGTTACAATCTACAAGCCAAAATGAAAGAGGAAGTCCGATACTGATAAAACATTAGGGAGTTTCTGAAACGTTTAGTAATCAAAGACACACCTGCACACAGAGGATCAGAAAACCTAGATACTATTACGTTAATTTACACAGAGAGCTGAATGTTGATTTAAACATTGTATCTAAATGTAAGGGCGATAGACATAATATTCACTGCATTGCAATATTGATATATGTGGTAAATTAAGCTTCTCAAATCAGTTGAGAAACTGTTTATGGATAAAATAACCAGAGAGGGATGTCATTATTTTTTTTTTTTTGGCTTATCCAGTGAATTAAATACCTGATAAACCCAGTGCTGTGTCTTATTGATGCAGAAATCATAAAAATCCAATATTGCCTAAAGCAGTTCTGCTCATTGACTTGTACCATTGTCCACAATGGCTCAATACACCCGGAGAAACAGCTACCACATTATAAACAGTATGACAAAATCTCTGATGGTAGACAAATAATTTTATCATAAATATTGTCATTCTGTCCAACCCTACTCAGATATGATCAAAACAAGAATAGACCAGGGCCCTGTTTCAGAAAGCAGGCTTAACAAACTCTGAGCTTATCCCTGAGCTCTGGGTTGATTGAGCCTGAGGTGGGAAACTCTGAATTTTCGGTTCTAGAACAGCTGATCAGAATCAGTTCAATCAACTCTGAGTATGTTGAGCCTGATGGAAGCGCGTGCGTGGTAATGAAAAAAAGCCATCATCAATGGAGCTCCGATACTACGATTCACCATGGCAACGGGTGAATAAAGGCAGAGTTTCCATTTTAATCGAGTGGAGCTAGAACTATTCTTGCGTGCCAACGTGAACCGTGATAGGCTCTAAAATGCAGGAGTGGAAGAAGGATCAATGCGTTAACATTATTAGGCCACTATACAGCGTTGCTCATCCATCATTTACCACACTGGAATTTCCTTAATGAATGATAAAGTGCTACAGCCCATTACATTTGATTTTAAATAGGAAGGCTATATTTATTAAGCAGAAACCCAACGGGACAAAATGCCGGTGGCAATCGACTACCTGATTATGAAAATATGTAGGCTATAAATCAAATATAACACACAGTTTACTCATGAACCTGTGATTGTAAAGTCACAGTCACACCCAGCAGGTTAGCCTAATCATTATTTTTTGCAGTGGAAAATGTGTCTATAGGTTCAAACTGACTGTAAAGTTTTAGACTTCTATTTTACATTAATAAAATCTTGCTCACTTCGGATTTTTTTTAATGCTGTCAAAATACATTCAGACTGTCAGCAGCTAATAATGGAAAAACTCACTTTTAAACCTTATTTAAGCCTATTTGTTTCAGCTTCACCACAGTCATCCTCACTCAGAAATAGTCACATTATCTCCAGTTGATAACTATGATAGGAATGTTCCAATCAGTGCGACTAGCCTACAATATGAAAGATTACTGTTGATTGATCAGTTTTATAGGTTACATATTAAACAGTGATTGCTGCAGTAATGTAGCCCACAGTCTAAGTGTTTTCAGTGCAACTGTCACAGTGTTATACCTAAAGACGGACATAGATTTTATTCTGTGCTGAGGATAAATCCACGATGTGTGGAGATCTGTCCATACATCGATGAGATTGTTCATAAAAGCGGTCATGTTCAAGATCATGTTTGGATGAAATACTAATAGCCTATCTAACGGGGATTTTAAAGTTTTTAATGATGTAAATGCATTCAGATGTGTGCTTTGATATGGACAGTATGAATGAGGAAATTAAACTGTGTGTCAGACAGCCGCCTCAGGGGGGAGGAGTCGGTTTTCCAACTTATCCTGTGAACCCAACCTCCTCCCGAAGAGCTTAGGTTCACAGCATCAGTTGCCGGAGTTACTGATCTAGAGTTTATCTGATCTCACTCTCTGAAACAGAAAACCCAGAGTTTCCCTCATCTCAGGCTTAACATACTTTCACAAATCCCGCATTCTGAAATGGGGCCCAGGATACACATGAGTTTGTTTGTAAATATGCCCATTGTAACCCACACTTGCCTCCTTATGGTCTCTAATCGTACCA